CCTATGGAAGTACTGTCATCCACATCAACAGGACTGGGATCAGTTGCTCATCGCCGCCGAGATCGCCTACAACAACGTTGTCTGTCCTTCCACTGGCATGTCTCCATTCTACCTTGACCTTGGCTACCATCCGCGCTTGCCCTCTGATTTCCTGCTTCCCTCGCAACTCAACCCCTCCACACCCTGCCCCTCCCTCAATGAATGGGTAGCAACAATGAATCGACTCCTCAGAGAAGCAACCGAAGCCCTCGAAAGAACACAAAAACAACAAGAAAATAAGATCAACAAAGATAAGACTAGACTTGCAATTCAAAGTGGGGGACAAAGTCTGGCTCTCCACCAAACGCTTTGAAACCGAACACATGGATTGTCAAAGAAACTCTCGAACAAATGGCTCCGACCCTTCCCCATCATTGAAAAAACTTCCGACGTCAACTACAAACTCCCAACTCCCCCCCCAACATGAGCCACGTCCACTCAGTCTTCCACATCGAATACTTGAAAGAATATCATGAATCCCCACCCCAAATCGCTGACCGCCCATATCCTAGACTTCCACCTATCATGTTACCCACAGGCCCTGAATTCGTTGTTGAACCAATCATAGGTCGACGAACTACTCAGGTATCTGACCACCCGGAACCAATCTCTCGATACAAAGTCAAATGGACCGGATACCCCGACGACGAATCTACATAAGAACCTCAAGAATGCCATGAAACTTGTCCGCGCCTATGATCGTGCTAGTCCTATGTCCTACACACACCCTTGAACCTTGCTACAACCTCGCAACCCCGTTCTACACACACCCTTGAACCCAGTCCGCACTCCCCTCGACCCTGATTCCTGATGTCTGATCTGCCCTTGCCCTCGCCTAGCCTTGTCCCATCTGTCCTCTCCACTACCTTGTCTCTGTTGTCCAATGCTTATGAACCTGCGTGACGCCGGCGATAAAGGATCTAATGGCTAGCGCACGAGGATGATGGCCTGCTGCCTCACTGTTCATGGAGATTATGCAGCTGGTTTGGCCACCATGCTGTTTCATCGGCCGGCATCCCGACTCGCGGACTCGCTGGAGCAGCAACTTGTGACATGGATCTTTGCATCAGTCTGCGACTTCCTTGCTTCCAGATCAGACCTCATTGCAGTTTGTGTACCGGACACACCCTAGCACTTGGACTTCGGACATTTGAACTACTGTTACGTTTTTTGGACTTCTACCTGTCGCAGCCGCTGGAGACCGCGTCTACCACCTACTCCAAGACCTGATCAAGACCGCTGCAGATCCCCTTGCAAGACACTTGGACACTTTGTTTCTACATGAGATTTTGCTTCCGACTCCTTCGGACACACTAGCCCTTGCCTCCTGAACAAACATTTTCATTTTTATTTTTTTCCTGACTTTGACAACCCTTTAGAACATCATTAGCAGATCCCTGTTTCCCTGACCATTGTTCCCCTTATGCACTAGAACATCAATAGAAATTCCCTGTTCCCCTGACCATTGTTTCCCTTACCCGGTAGAACATCAATAGAAATTCCCTGTTTTCCTGAACATCGTTTCCCCTACCCAGTAGAACATCAACTAGAACATCAATAGAAATTCCCTGTTCCCCTGACCATTGTTTCCCTTACCCAGTAGAACATCAATAGAAATTCCCTGTTTTCCTGAACATCGTTTCCCCTACCCAGTAGAACATCAATAGACCATTGATTAGCTTTCCCTGTTCACCCACCCAGTTACATCATACCTTCGCCTGTGCAGAACACCAGACAGAATACACTGTGACTTGCATCACTCCCCTTCTCCTTCTCCGACCAGTGATCGGCCCCATCCCGTCCTTCACAGCTCCTTTTGTTTCCTTGGCTTTTTCGCAGCCGGGAAGTTGCCTTTCAGAGGGAGGGGACAGTGTTACGGACTCCGCCAGGGCTCGATCCCTGGGTGTATCTTTTTGCTGTTTCTGCTGCATCCCGTTTTCGGCCTTGCACCAGTTTTTCCAACCCCCCCTTTGGTACTGTCGGATTTTGGACAACTGGCGCTGTGCTGCAATTCAGGTGCCACTTTCAAATACTGCATTTTTCAGTTCTGCCCTCGGGGATTTTGCGGAAATGCCCCTGGTACCGTACGTGTCACCGGTACTTATACCGGCTCCCCGTACAGTACGGGGACCAGTCTCGTACCAGTTTTCAGCTGCTGTACTCGTACTCAGTGTGACTTGCTGTTTCGGGATTCGGAATCCAAGACTTCAACTTTGTGCCCTTGCACTGTGTCTGTCCCACCCTCAGTCGTGTCAAGTGAGTGAGTGTGTGTGTGTGCTCTCCCTCTCTCCCTCTCTCTCTCCTCTCCCGCGGCTCTCCCTCAGCCTCGCGCTCGTCACACATGGCGCATGGGTGTGCGATATCCGCATCTGGTCCCTGTTCATGCGCCATGCACTGATGCGCGCACTCCTGAGGGTCATACACTAGGGTGGTTCGCCAGATGGGCTGCCTTTCTTTTTTTTTTTTTCCTGAACTCCCGTTCTTGCATTGCACATAACCTTGCCAATATCCAGCCTTGGGGTGCTTTCACCACCCTTTTGAGCTTCGAATCAGGGTAAAGCGGGTTCACTCTCTCCTTGACTCTCTCTCTCTCTCTCCACCCGTTTGAGCTTCGAATCAAGGTAAAGCAGGGGTTCCCTCTCTCCGTGACTCTCTCCACCCGTTTGAGCTTCGAATAAGGGCAAAGCACGGGTTCTCTCTCTCTCTCTCTCTCTCTCTCTCTCTCTCTCTCTCTCTCTCTCTCTCTCTCTCTAACAATTTGAACACGATGCCACTGCATCTGTCACCTGCATCACGGGGGTGGCCACAACACCAGATGGTGGTAAGCCCCTCGAAGGACACCCCATTACCGCCGTCCCCCTCCACCTTCTCCCCTCTAATTACTCGCTACCCCTTCCCCTCTAATCCCCATCGGCTGTTGTGCAACATTCTGGCTGGCATAAAAAAAAAACGAAAAGAAAAAAACATGAGGAGCAAATCGATTTACGGAAACGGTCGTTCGAAAGGAGGGATAAAAAATTCACATGTCAAATTGAGTTTTCTCATTTGGGATGGATGGCAATTGGAAGAAGGGGAGATGGTTGGAGGATGGATAGCAGAAGAAGGGGAAATGGATGGTGGATAGTTGGAGGATGGATGGCAAAAGGAAGAAGGGGAGATGGATGGTGGATGGTTGAAGGATTGGGAGGGAAGATGCGATTGATGATAGTGGATGGAGAAACGACGAAGGATGGACGGGGTGGATGTGCCACGCGGAGAGGAAAGCCCTGGGGATCGTCAAATCGAAGGAGGTAGAAAGGGAGAAAGGAGGAGGGAGAGCAGAGGAGGTAGAAGGGAGGAAGGAGGGATAGGTGGACGTACAAAAAGGCGGAGAGGAGGGTGAGAAGGACGAAGAAAGAGGGGACATGAGGAGGGAGGAAGGAGGAAGGAGAGATGAACGAAGAAGGGAGGGAGAGATGGACAAATAAGAAGGGAGGAAGGAGGATGGAGAAAGGGAGAAGAGGAAGCAAGGAAGAGGAAGCGAGGGAGAAGGGAGGAAGGGAGGAGGAAAGAGGAGGGAGACGTGAGGTGCTGCGTGGAGGAGGGAGAAAGGAGGGAGAAAAGGAGGGAGGAGGAGGGAGAGTGGGGGAGGGATAAAGGAGGAGGGAGAAATGAGGAAGAAAGGAGGCGGGAGAAATGGAGGAAGGAGGGAAAGATGGACGAAGAAAAAGTGAGAGAGAGAGAGAGAGAGAGAGAGAGAGAGAGAGAGAGAGCTGTTGGCAACCCACCTCAACCGGCTCACTGATACCTCCTTGCTCCCATTGCCTGCTCCAGCTGCCTCCTGCTGCATGCTGGAGCTGCCTCCTGTTTCTTGCTCACGCTATGGCTGTGGTGCTGCTGGTGATGGGCGAGCACGAACTAGGATGAAAACGGACCACATGATGGCCGGCAAGGAGACATGGCACAACCGGCTAGTTGACCTATTGCCGGGGTGTCACGGGGGTGGTCTTGAGTAGTTGGAAAATGAACTACTCATTTCTCCCCCCAAAATTCTTTCCAGCCCTGCGAGCGGCCCGGAAAACATTTTTGCTCCCAAGCAGGCAATTTCCCCTGGTACCCCTCCGGGCCTCCTCCCCCTCCCGGACTTTGGTTTTTTGTTTTGAAGGACCCCTGATTCAGCAAGATGCGCCGCATGCCGTGCTTGCACTGGCTGCGCGGTGCGCTCTGTACCGCAAGTGCTGAGACACTGCACACGACATGCACCGGAAGTATGATTTGTAGTAATCAAAGAATTGCAATCATAGTCACCGCTGATCGACATTTGCGGCTATGGGCGGCACCAAAACAGGTAGACTCTATTGGAGCTCATGAAACCCTCAGGTTTGCCATGTGACCATGAATTAACGCAAGGATGGTCTTGCAGCTCAGTAGGTGGGAGACACGGTGGCTCATTGATATTTGCTTGCATGTGGCTTGTGTGAGCCTCTTTCTGGTCATTAGCCCAGACGTACAAATTTGTTTCTACTGATACTGCCCCTGCTCTCTCCTTTGTCATGTACTAGCTGAGCCTTCCGTGTAGTGGCTGCTCACTTCCGGGACTGTATGTTGCCTTGCAGCAAAATTTGATACACCAGGAGCCTGCTGCGCCCTAGTCCAGCTAGGTTGTCCTGTCTTGTGAGTGAAGAGTCGCTTTTCCAGGTGGTAGAGCCCAGGGCGTCGTTCCCATGTTTCCGTGTGGTGGCTAGCCATTCCCGTAGGCAATGCTTGGTGAGCCTGTTATGATGTTTGACTATTCACTCGTTTGTTCCTGATCGCCCTTGAACAGGCCTGATGCTGACGTCTGTGCCCGGGGTCAGCTAAAAGATAGCCACCTCCACCAATAGCATGTCAGGACCTTGTTGAACTTTACGGCTTTGGTGTTGAATCAGTATTTCTCATAAGCTGACTTGGTTATGAAATCTTTTTGGGTTGTCATCTCACAGTCAGCAAAGACGAATATGAATGTGGAGAATGTTTTCTTCACAATTGCGAGAGACATCAAGCAGCGGCTGTCAGAAACTGCAGAACCAAGGCCACCAGATGTAAGTCAAAAGGTCCTGTGTTAAAGTTGAATACTCTTGGCTTTGCTGCTTTTGGTAAAGTAATTGCTATCTTGCTTCAGTTGACCGGTCAGCCTTACGCAGAGTCTATTAATGATTGTCACGACGAATCCACCACTGAGTGTGCTGTGATTCGTGGAATCGAGTCAGTTAGAGTGTAGGTAAGGCCTAATTTCCAGTTGCACCACTCATCATGTGATTCTGTCATTGCATGATATTTTTCAGAGATTGGAATTATTGAATTATTCTATCATCATGTATGAGCTAGTAGGCTGCCTGTGAGCTGCACGACTTCCAGTTGCAGGCTCCTGGGCACTCTTTGGGAATGACAAGGATGCTGTATGTCTATGTTTACTTGTGCTCGGCTATACATATAGGAGGCTACCATCTTCACCTGAATAGAATGCGCGGACTGAAAGTGGCCGCAAATACAGCTGTAATGAGCGGGCATTCCATTCGGGAAGACTCGACTCTTTGGGAGTGGCAAGGATGCTGTTTGTCCTTCTGTGCCTGTGTTTTTGTAAAGTGAGGGCCCAACCCCAGCTATGTATATATTCAGTTTGACAACGCCGACTGCCGACCCCAACCGCGAACCGTTTTACCCCGACCGATCAGGACCGACCGGTCGGCGGTCCGCCGACCAGTCAGAAAACAACCATCCACTGATTTTTTTTCAAATCTGAGTTGGGGGCTGTACTGCGCTTGTCGAGTACAGCCCAAATCCGCTGAGAAACTTTTAGGGATGGGGGCGGGGGGGGGTGAATAGAGGTGGTATAGGGGGATATAGGGCAGGTATAGGGGGTATTCGGGGGGGGGGAATGAGGGTGTTGGGGGCGGTTTAAGGGTGTATGGGCGTATTGGGGGCCGCTATGGGGGGGTTGGTGGTGTTATGAGGGTTTCTGGACCCACCCGCCCCCCAAAAAAAAAAAAAAAAAAAAAAAATTTTGCGGGGTGCCGACGACCCCCGACCGGTAGGTGCCGACCAGCCGACTGGTCGGTGGGTCGGCAGCCAACTAGTCAAGGGCCGCCGACCATCGGCGTGTGCAACACTGAATATAATAATATATACAACAACTTCAACAGCACCCCGCTACGGTTTTCTCCGGTCAGCTTGAGCGTCTTAAGGTTGGGGCCACCACTAAGCAGCCATGCTGTGCCTCTAGTGCCAGCGGCGTGTCTGGAGTGTATTTTCTGGCTGTGACAGACCTTTCTTTGTTTTGTGGGTGTTTTGCTGGCTTCTGATGGGGTGTGAACTGGTTGTCTGTGGAGTTTTCCCTCTGGTGTGGGTGAGTGATAGTCTGCCTTGATTTTTGTTACAGGTACCTTGAGGGCAGTGGATGGTGCCTACCTCAGGGTATCAGTTGTCCGGCAGTCGCTTAACCACAACCCGGACTGTCGAGGGCTCAGCCTCCCTATGAGTCAGTGAAACTCTGACGAAACAGTCTGTCACAGCCCTGCGTTTGTTGTCCTCTTCTCCTTCTCTGCCTGCGGTTTACCGGGCAGTTCTGTTTGATGACATATTTGTGACAAAATACAAACAGGGTTTATCTCTGATGGCATTAGAAGAATCACTCCATCAGAGTGCAGAACTCCCACACTGCTCACCAGATAGATTGCCATTCAGTGAGCAGTGAAACAAAGCCTGTTGTTTTGCTGAAGTGGCTCTTGGTCATACGGTGGCCACAGATTTGGCCATCATTCCTATCAGCGACATCCGGGAAAGTCCTGCTGTGAGTGTGCTTTTGTCCACTGGCCGTGGACCGTTGTTAGTCGTGCACGATGGCCAGCCATCACCAGTGGCCAACAAAGCAGCCATCGCGCGTGACAATTACAGCAAACAGCAGGAGGACAGGTGACAACTCAAATCCACGACGAGAAAGAGGCCCTGGTGGCAGCGAAGCAGCACTGGCCAAGTGAGGAACACGTGTGAGGGGTGCCGGGTTGTGGGGGTACACATACAAAAACTGGGAACAAGCTGTGCTGCATGTTACAAAATCCGGAACAAGCCTGGGTACAGCTGGGTAGAATAAAAGAAAATTACGGCAGGGCATGATTGGGTATAGGTGAACGAAGGCAGGGTGCGCCGGGGACAGGTGAAGCATAGAAAATAGCTACCTCTGGTAGGTTCAGCACAGCTGTAGGCTAGACAGCTACCCGTAAGGGGCCTGCACACCCTGTGGTATTGAAAAAGCTGTGGAATGTGGACTTGTGCCTGCTAGTGCCCAAGCACAGCTGAACTTGTAGGCCCTAGCATTTTCGATCGACCATTAATGGGTAGGCTACAATAGCGCTGGACGACCTGGAGAAGAGCAGGAAATGGGGGTGGGGAGGGGTTTCGAGTTGTGTGGCGACGAACATGGCAAGATGTTTTGTCGAGGAACATGGCAAGGTGTTTTGCAAGGTGCTCCGCTTACATCGCAAGGGCACGGGGAGCAGAGAGGCCGGGGTTCCAAATTGCCTTGTGCAAGACGGGAAGTGGACATGAAGTGGACAGGAAGTACGATGAGATGAAGGTCTTATGGGGTACTGTGCACATGTTTGCTGCGGGGTACAGAGGGGAGTGCTGCATTGATAAACAGGAGGGAAGTCATTGCTTCACACATTGAGGGCGGGGGGAGCAGAGAGGTTGGGGTTCCACAATGCTTAGTATGATGGGGCGAAGGCCTTTTGGGATACTGTGCTCATGGTTGTGGAGGAGGAGAGAGGGGAGTGCAGCATTGATGTTTTTAGAGTGGTGGTGTACAGGGAAGGGGGGGGGGGGGGGGGGGGGGGGGGGGGGGGGGGGTGAAGCTGAGGTGTTCACAAGATGTCTCTTACACATCAGGGCAGAGGAAGGGTGTTGTGAGAGGTTTATCCAGTGGTGACCACTGAACAGTGAAAGGGTGGCAGAAGAGAGTTAATGGAGTTCACAAGATGCTTCAAAGTACTTTCACTACATATATAACTATCGCTAATTTTCGGCCTGTGACAAGCAGACGATTGGAGCCCTCTGATTTTACACTCGGTGATGGTCCCGATCGTCTGCTGATCGTTTTGTCTTAGAAGTTGAACCGTTGCATGTGGTGCCGGGCCTGCATGCCAGCACCAGTACCATGCGCGGTACCGGGTCCACGCACCGGCACAGGTACTTTTGCAGAGGAAGGGTGTTGTGAGAGGTTTATCCAGTGGTGGTGACCACTGAACAGTGAAAGGGTGGCAGAAGAGAGTTAATGGAGTTCACAAGATGCTGATTTTCGGCCTGTGACAAGCAGACGATCGAAGCCCTCTGATTTTACACTCTGTGATGGTCCCGATGGTCTGCTGATCGTTTTGTCTTAGAAGTTGAACCGTCGCACGTGGTGCCGAACCTGCATGCCAGCACCAGTACCATGCGCGGTACCGGGTCCACGCACCGGCACGGGTACTTTTGCATGTTACTGGGCCAATGCCGGAACTGTGCATGGTACCGGGGCAGTGTGTGTACCATTGCACGTTACCGGGCCAGCTCGCCGGTACCGCGCGCGATTGGGGGCAGTGTGCTCTTACAACGTATAGCAACGAACTTTTTTTGCGCACCTCCCTGGTAGGTAGACTGGACGCCGTCAGTAGACGTCGACGCGGCAGTCTAAGCTCTGGCGACTGGACTCTAGACGGTCTAAGCTACTCGACAATGTTCTGGACTGCCCTACTCTACGCTACTCTAAGCTCTGCGTAGACAGGCTAACCTACTCCACGATGTTGTGGACTGACTTACTCTACACTACTCTAAGATCTACCCTACGCGTTCGACACACACGTGCGCGCGGGCACACACACACACACACACACACACACACACACACACACACACACATGTCAGCGCTCAGCCTCTGATGAGTCAGTGAAAGTCTGACGAAACAGTCTGGCACAGTCCTCTCTCTCTTTCTCTCTCTCTCTGTCTCTCTCTGACGCACCCACATGCACAGAAAGAACTTGCTCCTAATCTTTTTGCCATGCTGGAGATTGGGCTGTGCATCGGGATGGGCTCTGCATCAAGAAGATTGGACGCTGATGCTTGGGGTGTGCATTAGAGTGTGCCAGCACGACTGAAGGTGAGTTATTTCGTGCTTTTTGTTTGTGTGTTTGTGTGTGTTTGTGGTGTTTGTGTGTATGTGTGTGCGTGTGCGACCCACTTCGCTCGACACTGTTACTCCACTGTATGCTGTGGCCACTGTATGCTGCAACCCTGGACTTCTACTTTGCTACTCTACTCTACGCCTCTACTCTACACTGCGACGCTCGATTTGAACTATGCTACTCTGCTCTGCGCTGCAGTGGCACACTCAAACGGTGTTCAATACTCTATGGTGTGTGAGAGAGAGGGATAGCGGGCGCGGGGAGCGGCACACGGTGGAGAGGGGGAAGCGGAGGGGGCGACGGGCGCCGGATCGAGCATGTGCAAGAGAGAGAGAGAGAGAAATAGTGGGAGTGGGGACGGGATGGCAGGAGCGGGATAGCGGGAGTAGGGACGGGATAGCGGGAGCAGGACGTCGAGCGTGCTCAGAGAGAGAGAGAGAGAGAGAGAGAGAGAGAGAGAGAGAGAGAGATCAAGCGTGCGCGCATGTGAGAGTTACAATGACAATGACAATAGGAATCAAGGCTTTAAGGCGGAGTGAATCCTGAAATATTGCAGGAGCGGGATAGGGGGAGCAGGACGTCGAGCGTGCTCACATGAGAGAGAGAGAGAGAGAGAGAGAGAGAGAGAGAGCGTGCGCACATGTGAGAGTTACAATGGCAATGACAATAGGAAGCAAGGCTTTAAGGCGGAGCGAATCCTGAAACATTGCCTCAGTTCGGATTGTTCTCTGCAACTCGAGAAAATGAAGTTGGAATCGCTAGTAATCGCGGATCAGCATGCCGCGGTCAATATGTACTCAGGCCTTGTACACACCGCCCGTCACACCGTGGGAATTTTTTTGCGGGACCGGGAGCGGCATATGGCAGAGAGGGGGCGGGAGAGAAGA